TATATATATATAATATAAGCCACACGCGTAGGGCATACGTGGAAATTCCGAATCTATCAGCCGCCCAGACGAATGCAAATGGCATATGAAGCGCGCTTAATAAAGACTACGCAACTTGCGAATCACAATTTTCTTTGGGACGTGCTGCCCGTGACGATCACGCATGGACTTCGTGCGAAAAATTCCTGGCTCTTTCGTGCGAACGACGCGATTCATCGAGATATTAAATAAATGCATCATTTAGCAGTGGCTTTTCAACGAATCGTGTCTTGAATATAGTAAATACACAATTCGATCGCCATTCTTTTTATTTTTTCGAAGATAAGTGTTTGCATATCCCATAGCGATCGAAAGAAACAATTATTTTCCATGAACTTTGTCAGTGAACCAAGATGAAGTTTGACAGAAATTAAAATGATGAATTAAAATGATGATCATAATAATGAGCATTTTATTATTTCTATTTATTCTGTAAAAAATACATACATAATAATTTGCATTGTCTATTGCGATATACATGTATATATATATATATATATATATATACTGACATATAAAAATATTACTTCATATTTTTTCTTCTACACACTTAACTCAATGTACATTAATATATAATTTAATAAAAATAAACAATTCATTCAAAGCTAATAAAAGTAGACGGAGGTCAATGAACAAAACTTTAATTACTATTGCACAAAATTTCTTCATTTTTGAACGTTTTATATATATTACTAATTTCATTTCCTTTACTAATTTGTATTTTTAATATAAATATGTATAGGTAAACAGTAAAGTTTAAATTAATGGCAGTAGTTATGGAAAATTATAATTTTACTTTATGAGAATTTTTAATAATTAAAATACCTATTTATATATTTCATATTTGGCTTTCTAAGGCTCATGTAGAAGCCCCTATGTATGGGTCTATAATTTCAGCGGGAGTATTATTAAAGATAGGCAGGTATGGGTTAATTCGATTAATAGAAATATGATTATTCAACGAAAATGAGTTAGGATATGTAATTTCGCTGAAGAGAACTCCAAAGAGAGCTGAAACGTTCAAAAATAAAGAAGATTTTGCGTAATGGAAAGTAATTAAAGTTTTGTAATTGTCGTTCGGTACCTCCATTTGCTTTAATTCTTATTAGCCTTGAATTGATTATTTATTTTTATTTTAAAGATTGAGAGTCGTTTTGAAATTTTTTATATATATAAAATTTAATTACGTACATTAAATTCAATTGGTCCATTGTTCAAAATTTAAACATGTAATTTTGATAATCGGGAATCCATTTTATATATAAATTTTTATAAATACGTACTTTGAAAAAAAGAAAAAATTAACTATAAAAACCAATAATAAGTACTTTAAAATCTTCTAATTGCCAATTCAACATATCCATTGATAGCAATGATATATTTGCAAAAACGTATATTATGCCGTTTTCTATAGAACAATATTATTAATTAGATTGTGATTTTTTACGAAGAGCCGATAGTAAATTTGCTGATAGTTGCAAATCAGTTGATACAGGTACACATCCATCTACCTCTCGTGAACATTTTTGTTGTGGTAACCACCTATAAAAGAGTGATGTTTTTTTTGTTGTAATAAAAGTTGTAGCAAAAGTTTCTAAACGAGTTGATTACCTATGTATCACTGGAGAAAGCAAATTCTTGTCGATCGATGAAGGATTTTGCACACCTGTCATACAAGTAACAATCGCACCCACCACAAGTACCGCCAACGTACCAATAGGAGCAACCCAGTGATAAGACAACCGATATAACGGGAAGACATTGTCTTCGCTGCACAATGTATGCGTTTGTTAATTAGAACCAAGATTAATTCAATACAAATTAAATAAAAGGAGGGACTCACTTGTGCCATTCAAATTGCTTTAAGAAATTTTGGCTCACATTTCCCTCGCACTGTGGCACTGGAAGTTTCTTTGGCACTATGAGACCAGAACCAATGGCCGCATTCGCACCAAAACTGACCCATCCGGACATAATGAATCCTGCAATAGTACCAACAAAGGCACCCTGCACAAAACAAATATACACGAAACAATAGTTTTTTATTGTAAGAGTTTGTTTGGAAAATAATTGTTCTGAAAGTTGATCACATTTTAATCTATACCTTGGAATTTGCCCACGGAAACAAGATACCCAGAGTGAAGACGCCAAAGGAAGTTCCGGCAGCGATAGCGGCTAAACTACCCGTCACCTAAATTGCAATAATAAAAATTACAGCATTTTTAATCGCAGTAATAAAAATTATAGCATTTTGTTGATGTTTTAATATAGATTACAAATGAAATGATAACACTGAACACTCACAGATAGAACTCCTCCTAATTTCTCGATCAAGAAAAGCAAGCATAGCGCCATCACACCAAACAGGACGACAAGAATTTTCACGAAAATTGTGGAACAACGATCATTGGGCTTCATTTTAAAGCATCCTTTAACGAAGTCCTCCAGAATCACAACGGACGTCGAGTTGAAGCCTACTGATAATGAGCTGCGAAAAAAGGACAATTTTCATATTTGTTCGCGACAGATCAACTAAACATCAAACATCAACAACTAAACATCAAAATTGCTAATTTTCTCATTCGGTCAAATGATTCACATCAGCTAAACTAAACAACAAATAATTGAACATGTTTTTTTATTTAAATTATAAGTACAGAGAAATTTGATAAAGATAATAAATTATTTTATTTATTTGTTATCGATTTGGTGCATAAAAAAATTGCCCGTTTTATTTTATTAAATGAAATTTATTTTTAAGAAAACCATCCTTTCTATCGTTGATCGAAATATGTTGATTGAGGCAAAAACATCTCAACAAATGAATATTATATCTTACTTAATTAATATATTAATAAAAATAAACATAGAAAACATTTGAAGAAATAAAATACATACATATAATAGAAAATATATTGGTTAACCTATATAATTTAATAAATGTATACTAAAATTTAAATCTTTAATCTTCTGCGTTTCAATTTTCTTTCAAAATCGGCACGAACTTTTCGGATAACTCAATATTTATTGATACATATAGAAAATACATATGGAAAATATATATCATTGATAAATCTTTTCTATATGTGCGTATTTTACTCTTTAAAATGTTTTTTTATGTTACGACATGCAATATTATAAATAGAATTCTGTCGAATTTGGTTGCGAATTATCGTCTGAAGTGGGCTTAAGACGATAAAACTTTATTGACAAACAAGTGAAATGCATAATAACGAAGTTAATTGCATATCTTAACTTTGTAAATCCTACATTTCGTTTATTTACAAATTATATCTTATCACTCCTTATAAATTACCGTTAATAACGTCTATTATATATAATAACCTAGCTGCCCCCTCCCTATCCCACTTAATCAATTCTTAAGGAATAAATTATATAATTATGCGTTCTTAAATTCCGTAAAAAAATTTTTTGTAGGAGGCTAGTCCCATAGTCCCCCAACTAACAATCGCGAAAAAACTACTCATATAGACAATTTACTTATATTATAGACAATTATTTATATTAATTTGATTTGTGATACCTGAGTGCTGCGCCAAAAATTCCGGAAATAAAGAGGCCAGGTATCCCATGTAAATGATGAGCAATTTCCATGACATAAGCCGGCAACAATTGATCATCGGCTGTAATTAAGCCAGAAACTCTTGGATCACATTTCGGTGGCGACCACCAAGCGAGAAGGACTAGTCCACACCAACAACATGTTGAAATAAACACCATTATGCTGATGGTAAATATCGCAATGGATCTGTAATTAGGATATGTAAAGATTTGCAACATTGACTATATTAATATAGACATATGTATGAGTAATGTGCCCACGCACGCACACACACACACACACACACACACACACACACACACACACACACACACACACACACACACACACACACACACACACAGAGTACGATTCATTCGGTATTCTTTTTTTAGAGTTTTTCCGAATTGTTTACGTATTTTGCATAACAATCAAAAGAAATTATCTTTCACGAACTTTATTGGCAAACCAAGACAAAATCTAACAGAAATTAAAATGATAAATGATGAGCATTTTATTATTTCTATTTATTCTATAAAAAAATATACATATATATATATATAAAACATTGTTTATAGTATTGTGATATATTAACTTTTAATTGTAATAATGTTATGTTATAAATTGTATTATAAGATATAGCTATTATGAGATATGTATAGAGAATAAAACATAGATTTATATATAATATTTAAGTATACGTATAACATAATAGCTATATACGTTATTATCTCTTATCATTTTATAACAAAATTATTATGAAAGTTGCTAAAGTAATCGATATACTCACATTTGAGATATTTTTGTATTTTTTAACGATATATATCGTTGCACCATAGTTTGATTGACAGCGATATACGAGGTATTGTATAACCAAGAACCAATCAGTACTGTCCAAAAGGTATGTCTCGTGTAGGGCGATGGATCAAAACTATACAATAAGTAAAAGAATACGAGTGAATATTTGGTATGTTTGCGCAATATAATTTTGATGACATTCTTTGAATTCTTACTTAAAAAATTCGATGCGATTGGCATCGATAGCTCTATTCCAAATTTCAGACGCTCCCATTTGATAGGTACCTAGAGAGGCAACTGTAATAACTGCTGCTATCATCACGCCGACTTGTAATGCATCTGTCCAAACCACTGCTCGAATACCACCCTAATAAAAGTTCAAAAAACGAATGCGTGTAGATAAAGTGTAGAATAAAATATTTTATTTTATATAAGACACTCTTGAATATCTCGTAAAAAATGATTTTACTTAATCTGCATGTATATCCATACATATTTACATGTATCTGTATTTAATCAGTTTATTTTCTTTTGTAACAATCATCAGAGTTAAAGTAAGTTAGGAATTTGATTATGCTTCCTCAATTTCTCTCTCGATAAAAAGCGATATTTCCGCGACGGTATTATCTATTTCTGAAGAATTAGTGGCGTTAGTGGCGAATGCTTTTTCGAGTGCATGCAATTGCATACAGTCCACAGTATGTTCGCGCGTGCGCAAGCGGCATATAATAAACAAATTTGTAAAGAGCCACTCAACCACGATAAATTCTCATTAATACGAGATCCAACAAATTGCTCGGATAATTACAGGCGCGCGATCCCGCGATTAATCACTTCAGCGCCGGCTTTGTGATCCGCTGCTACGATAACATCCGCTCGACGTTCTCCGCGCCATTGTTTCCCCGCGCCATTGTCGGGCTTTCAGTTTCCGTCCATAAACATTTCCAGTACTAAGGCTCTCGCGTGAGATTCTTCGCGGCATTGTCCACTGAAAATTGTTTCCTACGGTAGACCGTGTCCGAGGAACTCCAGCCATCCCGCGGGAATTTGGCGAACGAGCCTCCCCCGGAAAATTAGCTTAGGCTTCCGTTCTCTCGACCGCCACAATCATTTTCATCCCCCCTGCGTATACTATTCTTGTTAACATTTAAGTATAATATGACAATCTTACGATTTTTTCATTTTAATTTTTCTTTTTACCTTAATTTACGAAAAAATTAAGTGGCACGAAATCGCAACTTACCAGAACGGTGTAGAAAACACATACGATGCATACGATGCTTCCGATCAAGTGTATATTGATACCGCTCACTGCAATGAATTATCGAAAGTATTAATGGAAGTAGGTTAAAATCTTAACGTGAATAATGTAGCTATATAAAATACCTTGATTCAATGCCAATGCAGGGACATAGACTACGATTGATTGGAAAAGAATCTGAAATTAATTGATTCTTATTTAATTTATTCTTTGAAATTGTCATGAAAGCATAAACAGACCAGATGTAGACTTACCACGTCAAAAATAAAAATTGAAGAAATCAGAATCCTTACGGTACGATTGAATCGAATTTCCAAATACTAAAAGAAGTGAACCGTGAAAATTGTGTCACGAGAGGTATACTAAACGGAATTAAATGGAAAGAACTAACCTCGTAAACAGAGTTAAGTTGTAAGGTAGTAAAGACAGGAAGATATATAGTAGCGACCACGATACCGGAAAAAAAAATCGAGAAGATCGTGATCCAATATTGCGTGCCAAAGTTGTAAATCTCCGACGGAGTACCCAAAATCGTCACGCCTGATATGAAACTACAGTTATAGATTGGATTAAATAATCTGCATAATTAATCAATCAAGCCCGAATTACACGATAAATGAGATACGAATCATTTTTTACACGAAAAGGATGATTTTAATAAAGTATCTAAAAATTTAGATACCAATCTGAAAATAGTTTTGTTGAATCATCAAAATAATTAATTAATAACCTATTAATTAATTAATCCTATAAAATTTTTTTGTAACAAGATTAATTTCAGATCTGTATATAGCTAAATTTTTAGATACTTTATTAAAATCATCCTTTTCGCGTTACTTTAGTAAGATCATTCTTTTCGAGTATGTAATATTAATCTCTAAAATTGAGGTGAACATTGTTATATGAAAATATTAAAAGAGTCTTTATTCTGAATTAAGATGTGAAATTTATGATGGCGATAAAAAAAAATTGTTTAACACTAACGAATTCTTTATTTCTTCTGTTATGTTTCAAAATGTTTTAAATCTTCATTTTTCATTCATTCCTTATTTCCTTTTTTTCTTTTAATAGTCTTAAATCATATAGAATGACGAACCAAGCTTACCTAGCGACGAGAGAAGCGGACACGGGAAAGAGTCCTAAGCTTCTTCCTCCAAGCAGGTAGTCCTGTGTGTTCGACTTTTGCGCTCTTCTGAAGTGCCATAAGCCGGCTGCGGCAGACACGAAGAGCATAAGTGCAAACACCAGCCAATCGATCCAATGAAAATATCCTCTTCCCGATACAGCTATCATCTTTACTGAAATCAAAGAGCTAAATCTATTCAATGCATTCGAAATGATGCATTATGCTTAACTAAATTTTTAAATATACATTTTAAATATACATTTTAAATATACCGCAACATATAATTACTATAAAATACAATTCTGCTATATTCTTAGCATATCTTAATCGCCGTTGGTTAAGTTACCATATATGAATACATAATTTATTACTATTTAGTTATTTTTATTCTATCAAAACTTTTTATATTTCAACTTCTTAATTCTTTTTTTTTTCTATTATTTAATTGCACTATTATTAACTTTTATTAATCAAACTTTTATTAATACTGCTAATTTAAATCGTAAGTGCCATTTAATAACAAATATTACAGAATCGATGATATAAATCTTAATTAATCTTGTTGATTGTAACTGCTTGCAATGACAAGGATTTTCGCATATAATTATAATAATTATGTTAATTTTATGTTTATTTTATGTTTAATACATTTACAATACATGAAAAAAAAAATTATTTCACAATCACTTTACTTTATTTGCATCAAATCACGTATTGTATTTCTTTTAGATCAGCGAAAAAATTGTGAATCATATCTCAGATTACAAAGTCGACAATATTTTTAATCCGCTAGTCCTACTGCAAGGACTATTGACTGACGCATCGCCAAAAATATTGCGTCAATTTTTTATTTATTCTTGTATAAGTCACGTTTTACTGTACTCCAGCGTCTATCAGTGTAGGCAGTAATTAAGTATCACGCGTTATAATAAAAATATATTAAGGATGTATGTCACGTCATCAATTGATCACAAAGGATATTGCAAACATATCATTAATACCCGCCATCGTTAACGTTTCCCTGTTAGAGAAGCCACTGACCTGTGACTTCTTCGCACGTGCTAGTAATTTGGTCTTGTTAACGTTGAATGACAATCATAGCAGTGTTCTCAGTTCCACAGTTTGCGATGCCATCCCTCAAATCTCGTATTTCCGTTCTACATTAACGAGCGAAGTGAATTACAATTATTCGTATATTAAATTATGATCTAATCAGAGGAAGATAATTTAATCAAAGGGATTTTTAATCGTGACTAAAAAGAATTAACTCAATAAAATTAATTGAAAAATTTATAAACTACATTATTACGAATTCCTAGTTGTTTGATATATACAAAGTATTTTGAAAAAAATGAAACAATACTTAGTGGTAGATTTCTGAGATTCATTTTAAGACGAAAATTCTAATACCAAAATATCGAAGCTAATATGATCTTTATAAATATTTAAAATTAGTAAAATTAGTAAATATTACCTTTTGAGCGTTCATAATAATGTGCTAAAAACAAAAGTTTCGTTGTCGCTTTTTACTAATATCGATATAAATATTATGCATACAGAGATAAAATTATTAATATTTCTAATTATTAATATTT